ACAAAACTATTTCTTCTTCTTTTTCTTCTACTTGAAAGGTAAAAAGATAGTAAGATAGTAAGATACTTGACGTGTTAAGAGAGAGAGAGAGAGGAGAGCATTCCCGAGATCGAATTTCGAGTAAATAGTAAAGAAGAATTCTCGGTTGAATTCTTTTACGAGAGGAAATACGATTTTAAGGACAATGGGAATGGTTAAAATCGCAAGAAAATCGTTGAATCGAGGTAAGGTGTTATCGAGAAGTTCAATCTAATAGCCCCATTATATGCAGATAACTTCGACGGGTATATCGAAATTCACTTAAAACCGGATATGGTATGACTGTCGTTACTGAAATTAACCGGCGTGTAATCGTTTTCCCCCAGCAAACTGTCGAATACTTTGAGACACCTTAAACGGCTGGCGGAGAGGTGCGAAATCTGCGTGTTTCTGGGACACTCGCATTACTCTTCGTGACTCGGCTTGCAGGGCAAGGTGCGAAATCCATATTTGGTCTCTGTTACGATAAATCTCATGCTAGGTAGAAAAGTATTCTCTCTTTTGTACTTTCATTATAATTGATATTGTTCGTTTTTTCTTATTCGATTTGTTTATTACCAAAGATTGTTGTGCCGATAAATCGAATCCTTTTTCGTTCGTTCGAAAAAAAAAAGAAAAAGATTTATACGAATAATATAATAAGCACCGATTTATCTTATTTGTATTATATATACATATTTCTAATATAAAAATTGTACGTATTATTTTCTAGAAAAGAAAGAAAGAAATAAAGAAAGAAAATGGTTTATTTCAAGATGACGTTCTTTTTAATGTTTCCAATAAGAGTCCCGTAAACTCGGCAACGACAAAATGATGACTGCAGTAGCAATTTGCAAAAACATCCCTCGTGAATCATTACGAACATATAGAAATTCAGTAAGAGATTGAAATTTCTTCCTGTTCCAAGCAACAACAGCACCAGCACCAGGAACAGCATCAGAGCAGCAGCTTTATTGAAATCCGCGAACTCACCGAAAGACGTGCTAATGAGCAAGACGAAGCCGCTGATTACAGAGCAGTGGAAAAGATGACTGGTTCGTAGCGATCGAGGTAGCGAATGGCGAAACACAGCCATTGGCCGTTTCGCAAAACGGGCTAAGTGGTAAAAGAGGACCACCTAGCGGGGACTCGCTAAATCTTTTTCCTTTAAGCTTTACCGAAAGAAAAAGAAAAAAAGGACATGAGTATTTTTAGATGGCAGATGTCCCCCGTCCCCGAATGATGACCCGCAGATGACCAAGAAAACGTTTGATATTCTTAAGGAAGTGGTGTCATAATCTTGGTGGTCTTTACCTGTCCAACGACGCCAGCTGTTAGAATTTACAAAAGCCGCAAGAACTTTGTGTATACAAATAGAAGAGCTCAGGGAATTTTAATGCCCGTACTTTCGCAGTGTCAGAAAGTTTTTAAAGAAAGGAGAGAGAGAGAAAGAAAAACGATTTCACGAACGTGGAATCATTCTCAGCCTAAAAGGCGGAATAATCTTGCAAAGGTGTTGAGCAGGAACTAATTTAATGATCTCTCACTCTATCATAGCACGACTTTACTTTTTTCTTTCCCCCCCCCCCATGGATTTTCGTGAGTCTTTAACGGACTGATAGATTTTTCAAGGAAAAGTTTTCTAAGCTGTTGAAAGTGATAAAAGCCATGGATAAGCATAGTTAAGTGTTTGAATATTAGATTAAAGTATTCCAACTACGACACTGAATTTTTTCTTTTCGTATCATTCTAATTATATAGCATAAGTTGTTCTTTATTGTAAGTTAATGTAGACGATTGATCGTTTAACTATTTTCTAAATTTATAACTACAACGATCATCCGTTTTGAAAAGCAAGAAAGAAAGAAAGAAAGAAAGAAAGAGAGTGAGAGAGATGAGAATAGTCACGTAAGAAAAGATTCGACTAAGAAACTATCGAAATAGAATTTCATTCAGTCACCCCTTTATCCGTTCATTCATTCACACGTTCGAAAATCTTGAATGGTTACGAGTCAAAACGCTTTCCGAGGGTAGGAATGAAATTCTTTGAATTTTTTTTTCTATTTTAAAATCCAACTCCTATTACTACTACTACTACTACTACTACTACCAATTGGATTTTCAGCTCTCGTCGGGAAGGAGTCCTTTTAAAAACCCTTTTCTACCTTACGGCAAATCTATATTGTAATTCGTTCGGAGTGCACAGTGAAAGAAAATATATCCATAGAAATAGGAAAGTGTACAATGGTTGACGTAGAAATTCGCTTTTCTTGCTAAATTCTTAGGTTTTCGTTGGTTCGTTACTTTGGCACAACCGCCTATCGTTGCCGCTTATCTCGGCAAATCCTACTCCCTTTTTCTCCTTCTTCTTCTAGTTTAAGAGAAAAATAGTAGCAGGTTTCATTGAGAGAGTAACGTGAAGAAGAACGATAGTAGGGAGCAATTTCGTAGGAAGCATTGACTGCGGTAAGGCGACACTTGGCTCGAGTGAATTGGCAGGAAGCCCGCGTCGCTTAACTCCCCCTTTCAATGAGATTATCATCGGTTCTTGGGTCCTCTTCTACGAGACACCGACTTCATTCTCCATTGTCAAGAGCTACTGTACCAACACGAGTTCCTCGACTATTCTACGATGCAAATGGCTTCTACGAAAGTCTCGAGGACGTCTCACCGGACTCCTCTAACTCTCCTGCTTTTAACTTTCAAACAACTTCTATGACTATGATGATTATGTGATCTTTGCCGATTATGTCATTGCAGTTTTATATTCAACCATTCGTTAACATTTTTCTTTTTCAATTAATTTTCCTATTTATCGCGAGGAAAATATATTATATTGTAATTTTATTTAACATTTTATCTATTTTTCTATAATTGAAACGAGATAATCTTTTCAAATAATTCTCTCTTTATTATTATTATTATTATTATTTATTTATTTATTATTATAATAATATATACCTCGTACGCGTGATTCTGATATATTAGAAAGTAGAATAAATAAATGTATACGTAGTAGAAGAGGTATTTTAAATAGTTCTTATTAGCTAGGACGATACTAAAAGTTTAACGTCGGTATGTCTTATATTTTACGCGTTTGTTTAGAGATTATTAACATACTTTCGTAGATTCATTTGCATAGAAGACGGCACGGCACGTAACAGGGTTCTAATAGACGAGGAACACGAAGTAGGCGGCTCTCGGTGTTTACCATGAACTCTCTCGCGATTAGCTCATTTAGCGACTGGTATCAACTGACCGCATAATCATCGTCGTATGAACTGGAATAATGCTTACCGCAACAGAGAGAAAATTCTCTCTCTCTCTCACTCTCTCATTTTCCTCTCTCTAATTTTCCTCTCTCTTTCTCTTTCTTCTAACTCGCACATGTTCTCTCGAGACTAAACGAATTAGTGGTGCATGCAACAACTATCACATTTTACTTTTTTTTTCTCTACTCTTTTTTTTCTATTTTCTATTTTCTTTTTTACTTTTTCGTTTGAACGCAAACGCGCACACGAAGAGGAGAGACACTTTCCGATGTTCATGGTTGGATAAGAGGTACGTTGCCCCGTGTACACTTATCGATTTGCACACGGTGTCCCACACTTTGATGTTAAATAGCTCGACCTCGTGTAATTAGCTTATTGCTGAAATTAAAATTTAACGCGTGCTTCCTATCTAGCTCTTTTTTTTTCTTCTTCTTTTTTTTTTTTTTTAATTTAATTTTACGCATTTCGGTATATATCCATAATATTATATATTGTTATTGTAAAACGAATCGGATAAATTGACGATAAAATTATTCGTTTTTAAAACGTTGATTCGATTGATTAACTAATATTATTAAAATCGTATAAATAATCTAATCGCTATACGATTACAACGACAACAACGAGATTTTACTCGAAAGTTATTAACTTTCTCAAGAATAATCTTTATCTAAAACGATTCGAACGATCATAATCGAATACACGCGTCTTGTTTCGGATTAATCGAGCTTAAATCTTTTGTATGAGTTTGGTTCACACCGTGGACGTGTTAACGAGCACGTTGTCGCAGATAAAATCGTACAAGGTCTCGCGAGCATTCATGAATTATAATTGCACTGTAATTAATGGGAAGCAGGATATTGACAGGTGGTCCAGAATCACGTCTACTCTTCTACCAACCGTGTCCCGTGTTACGCACAGTTTCAACAGAGCTCTGTCCTTCCCTTCCACCCCATCCCATCCCATTCCCTTTCCCCAGGAATACCTCACCACTACAACCAAAGACGATTTTTTCGAGACTTAATTAACCCAAGGTGTTGTCCGCGTAATCACCGTTACCTGGCCGATCGATCTTAAAGGATATCCCTCCCTCTCAATCCTCCTTTTCCTCCCCCTCCCCACCTTTCCACCTCTTTTACCAACCCACTTAATTAAATGATTTTTCAATAAGATAAAAACAGAACGAACAAATTCAACTTCGACTTGTTCCTTCTTCTTGTTCCTTCTGCTTCTTCTTCTTCTTCTTCTTACGGCTCATGCTGTCTTCGAACTAATATTTTTTTTTTTTTTCTTACATTTAACTATGAAGGGACATCTCTTTGATTTAACGCTCATTCTCTTATTAATTTTTATAATTTGCGTATTACAAGGTACATCGAATAATAATGCGGCCTTTTAAAACGCACGAAATACAAAAATCATGAGTATCGTGATCTTGCGCTATTTCATAAATTCATTTTAGTCATCGTTTTAGTCGGAAAAAAGGAGATTTATCGGACTTATTTATAAATTCATACTATAAGGGCGGGGGGACAGGGGTGGGGATGGGTTCTTGTGTAATCTACGGAGATTAAGAGAAAGAGTTTGAGAATATTATTTAGAAGAAGTGAAATACGTTTTCTAATTGTAAAATTTGACTCCTGAAATTCTTCTTTTTTTTTTTTTTTTTTTCGTTTTTTTTTTCCTTTTCTTTTCTTTTCTTTTCCTTTCTTTTTTATGCTTTCAATCGAATTTTCTTTTTTTTTTCCTCGTCAATGCCCTAAGTGTACAATGACACGTTGATACACATCTACAAATGGTTTTCCTACTATGCGTATTTCTTAGATTAGACACACAGAAACCTATAACTCGGCATATTGGCCTTTAAAGAGCGAACGGGGGGACTGACTGTGGCATGGAAAAAGATTTTATTGAATATCTTAAGAGATAATTTTTTTTGTCTTTTCTTTTCTCTTCCTTTTCTCTATCCATTTTGTTTTTTTTTGTTTTTTTTTTTTTTTTTTTCATTTCTTTTCTATTCTCTTCGATTTTCCTTCCCTTCCTCATTTGAGAAAAAAGAAAAAGCGTGACGCGCGTTACAGTGCGCGCCGACGACGAGGGACGACGATTAATACAGCTAATATACCGTATAATTGTGTGTGAGTATGTATGAGTGTGTGTGTGTGTGTATGTATGCATATGTGTGTGTATACTTCGCCTAAAATTCGATTGATATCGGTAAATGATTTGAATAAATTCCCGTTAATAATATATCACAACACTTGTAACTTCATCACTTGATCTCATAAATATCGAGATTACCCTTGCGCCTTCTCGAACCCGACCAACTATTTTTCGTATTATCGTTAAATTCTATCGAACGTTTAACATTCGCACGATATCCTTTTTCGTAAGCGTTCAGATACAAGTTCTTTAAGAATATTTGATTATCTAGCTCGGATGCTTTGAGAAATCTCTTAGCACGGCTTTGCTGTTGAGCTTCCAGTTCGTTCAATGTAAATCCCTGAGCGTTGTTGTTCAATCCGTCCGCATCCTTTAAAGTTTCATCATCTTCTTTGATCTTAGATCTCGTTTGAAGACCCGACGACGACACGTTAGTCAAAGATAAAAGCTTCCTTTTTTGACGAGTAACATTCGAATCTTCCGATGCGTTTCTAATGCGTTTGCTACGATGCTTCGGTGCACCTTCCTTAACCGGAATCTCATTATTCAATACCAGATTGTCTTTGGTGGACGTAGTGGATGTTGTTACCACGGTTGTATCGTTAAAATCAATATCCGACGTTGGCGCTAGGAACGTCGTTGTTTCAGTTATTGACATTTCTTCCGTGGTATTTAATTTATTTTCTATGATATGTTTGAAAAATGCGTACATCTCGCCAACGGTAAACGCGGTACCATTTCTAACGGTGAACTTATCGATCTTCATTTTTTTGATTAATTCCTCAGTCGCGTTGCGTGCCTCCAACATAGATAATTTTTCCGACACGTAACTGTTAACAAAATCGTAAAAACCTTTGTAATAATTTTTCTTACGTTTTTTCTTATCCTTTGATTTTTTATTCTTATCACCGTGAGTTTGGCCGTTCTTTTTTCTCGACTCTTTGCGATTCTGTTTCTCGTTCCATCGTATAGATTTATTATAAAATCTCATTATTCTTTCGAATTCTCTTTTCAGTCTTATAAACTCTCTTTGATTTCTTATTTCGAAAACCGATCTACCCTTACCGGATCCGTTCTTCCTCGATTCCGTCAAATCAACGTGGAAGAAATTTTTACTCATAGCGTTTAATAATTCGTGCATGCTGCTACCATTCGTAATATTATTGCTCGCTTGTCTCGCATCCATGCGTTCTAATTTTTTATAAACCATTCGTAAGAAATCAACGATCTTTTCGTCGCGATTCCACGTTCCGTTACCGTGATTAGAATGTTGTTTTTTCCATTGCACGGATCCCGTTGAATTACTATTATCTTCGTTTTCTTTGGACGATCCATTGAAACCTCCTGGACGTTTTTCGTGATCGCGCGCCTTTATCGATTCCAAATGCAACAATTTTTTACCGACCTTCCTGAAAAACTCGATAAATTTCCTGTGAAAATGAGATAATACAATGGTTTTTTTTTAAATAATTATTAATAGATACGAGAGAGAGATAATTGATGAATAATTATAAGAATAATCTTACTTGTAATTAGCAGCAATGTCTTCCTCGGTGGCATCGGCTATCGATCTTCGACGTCTACTCCACCTCAATCTGGGATGCTGTCCAGGAATACATTTGGGTAATTCTTTAGGACTCCAATTTCCACCGATGCATGTAGCACCGTTAGGCCCTTCATCGAGAACATAACCCTTGTCACAGTCGTACATAATTTGTTTATTATTAACAACCTTTCGAACGTAAGGCCGATAATCGTAAACCCCCATGTTGCCGACTAGAAATACTTTTCCATTCTCAATGAAACCAGGGAACGGACAAAACACTTGAACGCAGTGAGGTATGTCGCCAGTCCAATTTCCATATTGACATTCGACAGAAATGGATGCGTTTAAAGGGCCACCTCCAACCAATTCAAAACCATCCTTGCATTTAAAAACAGCTTTCATACCGTGATCCGTCTTAGGAGCTATGACCATCCCGTTTTTGGGTGACTTTGGCATTCGCTTGCACCTGGCTGGCGAACAACTCGGTACTATTGACCAAGTCCCATTGTTACACACAACTGGCGTACTATTAGCTGCGAATTCGTAATTTTTAACGCAAGATACCAACAATCTTTCGCCGTGTTCTACAACTGTGACATTATTAATATGATCCTTCTCGTGACTGGCAACAGTTATATGTCCATTCTCGATTTGTGGTACGACGCAAGGAGCCAAACATTGTGGCAAAGGATAACGCCACTTTCCTTCCGCTTGGCAGACGGAAGATGCGTTACCTTCTAGTTTCATGTGATCGTTGCAACGGAAGATTATGCTTGCACCTAATCCAGTACCTGTCAATATCATCGACGTATATTCTACGTTAATCGCATTATCATAAAAATATAATCGTCGAATTTTGTTTTTATTTAAAGATAGATAGATCGAATGGTCCAGCGAACATTTGTGTTACCACGGGACACGGTTCAACGATGAAGAAACGCTTTAACCGAGCGTACCGATATAACCTAGCATATATGTGTGTATATAGTGGATATATTCGACTCACCTGCTTCGATATTTTCTATCCAACCGTTATAAAGAACCCCCGGCGAACCGCAATTAATCTCTTGACAGGTGGGCGTTTTTCCTGCCCATTTTCTATCTGCTCCGCAACGTCTGGTTGCCGCTCCCACAACAGTATAACCGTATTTACACTCGTAAGAGACTATCGAGTTATAAGCGTAGGAAGTAAAGACAGCTTTTCCATTTTCGGGATTCTCTGGTTTAGGACACTGTACGGAAGTTACCTAGAAATGTTACATTTTGGTTTGTTTTTTTGTTTGACTCTGATAATACTCCACGCTACGATCCAATTACTTTAACTCTTATCACTCCAACATTTTTTTTGCCGTATCATTTTACTCGACATTTATATTAATGAAATGACTATATAAGTTCGAATTCAAATAATTTCTTTAAAGTTGACCTAAACGCATGTTATAATATAATTAAAGTGAGAAGGGTTAATAAAGAAACGACGAATTTTCGTATCTCTTACTTGAACGCATTGCGGTGACTCTTTAGGCATCCATGTACCATCCGCCAAACATATTTTTTCAGCACGACCAATCAATTCGTATTCGTTTGCACAGTGATAGGACACGCGACAATCATACGTGTAACATTCACCTTAAGAAAATATGTATGAATAAAAGATTATCTATGTTGGAAACGTAACAATGAAAATACGTTAAAAAATTAGATAAATTAATTGAAAGAATTTCTTATTCGTTAGCAAATCAAGATTGATATTACGAAAGCGTGTATAAGAACATGTTCAATTTCGATGATATTCGATATATAGACAAAATATCAAAATAATTGATTATTTCAATGAAAACCCATATGTTTGAAGAAAATGGATAAAATGAAAAAAAGAAAAAACTATATCTTTGACATTTAATTTAAATGGAAATCTATATGGAAATGAAACGTACCAGCGTGCCATCCATTGGCGATGTCCGCCGGCGGACCACAGTTTTGTGGTTCGCAGGTGATATCGGGACCGTACCAACTGGCGATACCATTCATCATTAGACATTTAGCTTTCCGTGCACCGGTTGTGACATATCCATGATTACAATAATATTGGACCATGCTGTCGAGATCGTAAGTAGTTTGTTCGATCAATGCATTGTGTCTAGCATTTTTTATTTTGGGCGGTTGCGAACAGAAGGAACTTTGATCCTTCTTACAGGACGGCGTAGAACCAGACCAATGTCCATCGGCACGGCAAGTCCTTTCGGACAATCCAACAGTGAAGAAATCTGGATCGCAATTGTAATTTGCCCGACCACCGAAATATCGTTCGGTTATGGTCAAAACACCGTTTTCGATATTGTTTAACGGTGGACATTCTCTGTCAGGTTTGATGCATGACATACCACATGCACCGTCGCATCTACATTTCTTCTTCTTACTTTTACAATCCTCGTCGGTAGAACATTTTCTCAGGCACTTTTGACCCAATAGATCAGCTTGGTCCTGATCTCGTGGGCACATAGCGGACGGTGAATTTCTTGGATTCTTATAGATACGGCCGTCGTCATCGATCTCAGGTTTCGGATGATAACTTTCGTCATCGTCGTCATCGTCGTCATCGTCATCATCGTCATCGTCGTCGTCCCAATCGTCGTCGTCGTCGTCCGTCGCCTCGACGGTCGTTGCCTGTTGACGTAATTTAGACTCCGAGGCTAGAAATTGCAGGCACAAGAACAACAACAGGATAATAGCGCTCGGCTTCATACTTGTGTTCCCTTTTATTCGATCTGGGAATCAAAGAAAGTCTTCTTTTATACGTGTCCTCGCGTTTAACACTTTTATCAGCGATACAAAAACCAAACCGAACCGAACCGAACGAAAACGACTTGATTTACAACCCCGTCTGTTTCTTTGTTTTATTTTGTTTTGTATAAAGATACGTATTCCTCACATGACAATAATATTCGTCCCGGTTTATACCAGTTTCTCACTCGATGTCGAAACGTAAGTTCGACGACGCGAAGAGGATTATTATTCGTTCCATCTACTTCGACGTTTCGCGTCAGACGCGTTCGAGTTCAAACAATCCAGCGATGGGTTTTCAAGCTCCCGCGCAACTCCCCAAGACACCAAGGACGCTTGCTGGCTCTGCTGTTCGTCGATTCTCTCACGAGCACGACTATTAATCGAGTCTGCCTCTGTTCGCCGTCCGAGAGGATTAGGACGCTTGCCCGGTTTCCTCTCTCGCTTCCACCCTCTCCTTTCCACCACCACCCACCCCCCCGTATTCCCCCTTTTTTACTTTATTGCGCGAGAACTGCGCTCCTGTGCTGTGCCGGGAATTCACGAATATTCGCGCATCTTTCCACGCGCATTCTGCCTGTTCAATACATCTCCCAGGTTTCCTGGAACTTCCAGCAGATGGCACGATAGGAGTATGCAACGCAAGGGGTGGAAAATACAACCCCCTTTTCGAGCGACTGCTAACCTCTTCTACTAGCTAGTGGTGATCTCATCTAAGAGACGACGACTCGACAGACTGCCACGAGGATATCAACTCTATCCCAAATGTCTTAGGTAAACTTATATCGAATGTGTTCAACGTTATATATTATGATTATGATGAAATATTTATGAAATGTAAAAGCTTTTCCTCGTGGTCTTCAAACTTGTCTTCGATATTTCTATATGATATGTGACAGAGTTATATATTATATAATAAAGTGCTAGCAAAAGTTTCCTATCCGACTTTAAAATTCAATCTCAGTTTCTATAATGTTTTGATGAAAATTGATCTATTGATATCTCTGCCTTTCTATATATATATGTATGTATGCATGCATGCACGTTTTATAAGATTCATTCAAGAGGTCAAACATTTCGAAGATTTTTCAATCCGTCGAGACGGCCGATGAAAAATTTACGCGTTTGACTCGCGTGGGTGTAACGACGACCGAGTGGATCAGTTTTCATCCGGCAAAATGAAAAAATTCGATCTTGTTAGTCGTCGGCATACTACGATCGTAATCGTAAGATTCTGAAGTTAACTCGGCGTGTCGTTAGTGTAAGCTCGTGTTAGCTATTGTCTTGATAACGATCGTAATCAATCGGTGTGCAGTCGTTGGTTGGTTTGTTGTAGATGTATCGCTGAGGTACGCCGTAGGTGATCCGCCACGGAGCCAATCTCCTGTATCAGCATCATCGTTCCATCGCCGTCCACCTTAGAGATGTCTTCATTTGTCTTATTCAAATGAGATGCCGTGAGAGACGGTCTTTAAGCGGCTTAAAGGAATAAAGCCTTTCAGATTGTACCATGAAAGATCGGAGCAATAGTTTGCAATATTGATCAATATTCTAGAGCCCTTTGTTGGCTAGTTTTTTATTTATGAAAATATTGTGTAATGTGAAGGCTTAGCAATATCGAGAATCGAATAAATATCCATTTTTAATCTATGAAAGTAATCTAAACGTGTAACCTCTCCATTTCTTAATGTTATTCATATCTCTAATAGAAAAGAATATATTATCGGAATTAGATTTTCTTATTTCTATTTTCTAAAATGTTATTGTAAGATCGTTAGAAAAGGTCTTGGTCTAATACCCTAGCGGCAAAACGTTTAGTGTATCCTGAAAGGTAAGCTGAAACCGGTAGCGTTTGCAATTAATAATAATTTATTGCAAGACGTTCATATGGCCGTGAGCTTTCTCGTGTAAGACTCGTACGATGAAGAAGACGACCGACCGACTACTACTCTTCTTCGCCTTTGGCCAGATTTTCTTTCTCCCGGTAAAAGAGAACGGTTCCGAGAAGTCATACGCTGTCAGAGTCGCCGCTTGGTACTTCCTTTTCTCGTTCGAGTCGTACCGGATTGACAGAGTGGCAGTAACTCGGTAGCTGAAAATGGGAGTGGCTGGAAGACAAGAGGACAACTCGTCCGGCGACATCCCCGTGGCGCCTCGTCGCGGTTCCTCCTGCGACTCTACCCAGCAGAGGTTCTCAAAAACATTTCTTTCAACCACCCACCCCTCCGCCAACCCTCCCAAAAAATATCTTCCATTGATATTATTCCATATTGTATTCCGATCTACGACTTCTTTCCTGCCCCTTTCCCCCCCCGCCCCGCCCACCCACCACGTCGTTTATTTTCACGAGAACTTCGCAGACTTTTGGTAAGATGCCAGAAAGTGAGTTGGTCGTAACAACCAATTTGGCTCATCTAAATATCATATCTTTCTTTTTGTTTTTTATTTTTTTTCCTCAATCTACAAAACGTCCCGTTTAACAAATTAATAAAAATTGTATATATATACGAATGTATCTTGAGAGACTCTGTTTAACGGAGTTTCGTTGAATGAGGGATGTCCCGTTTGTCTCTTGGTGGGCGGTATACTCGTCTGGAACTGAAAAGACTTAGAACTTGTGGTGTCATCTTACACCAGGCAACGTGTGCCTACGTTGGTTTGGGGGTGCGGCAATATATTTTTTTCTTTCGCCCAACTTATTCTACACCGCAAAAAGGGAATGGTATGGTATGGCACGCGAAATATGTGCTTTTTCCAAAGTTCAAATCGTTCAACACGATTACTATTATTATTATTATTATTATTATTCTTGTCTATTTAAAACAAAATATTAATAATTCCGAACAATTTAATTACTGTCACCTTATATATACGAATGTTGAAAAAAAAAGAAAAAAAAACTGGTGTTTGTACTTATGTACGCACGTAAGAAGTTATACTTCTTTAGCGTACCAAAACGAATATAACCTCAAAAATAACTTCAATTTGCCAGCGCAATCGTATAAATATCGCGACAATTTCGTGGTGTTGATTTTTCAGTCACATCCGTAAAATTCACTCTCATTACTTTTTCCGAAACACGCCAAAAAAAGTATAACTTGAAAAATGATTTGGAATAGAAGAACACCACCGTATGTAACTTCATGCCGTAAATTTAAAATCGCGTTGCCCGCGCAATCGTATAAATATCGCGACAACTTCGTGGTGTCGATTTTTCGGTCGCATCCGTAAAATTCACTCTCATTACTTTTTCCGAAACACGTCAAAAAAAGTATAACTTCAAATATAATTTGAAATAGAAGGACACCACCGTATGTTTGATCGAGGAAAGCTCGTTTACATAAATTTGTTTTTTTTTTCTGTTTTTCTTTTTTGTTCATCCACATCGGCTGTTATATGGAAAGTAAGAATAGGAACTAGAGAGGTTTCTAACCATGCTGTACCTCGTTATACGACCATTATCGCTCAGTCTCGCGAATCCATTATTCTCTCTTCGGTTCTTGATGGTCTTCTACGCGTACCGGGTCGCACACCATCCACATGACGCGGCAAGATTATGGTTACGCTTCTCCGCATTCGTACAACGAGTATAGGAACGGGCAGAAGGATCGGCATCCACTTGCTGCTTGGTGCTTGGTAATACCACCGCCGCCTGTTTGGTATCTTCCATGCTCGATCAAACGACCGAACGACGTCGACTTGTGTTGGATGATGCTTGGAATCTCCTACCAAGAGAAATCTTCCCAATCTAATCGATTTTTAACGGTCATTTGTATTAATGCCGTTTCACTAAACTATTTCATATTGCAAATTATTTTTATTTCGTATGAATTCTCTTTAACTCTCTCTCTCTCTTTCTTTCTTTCTATCTTGCTAAAATCAAATGTAATTTTTATCAATTAGATTCGCACAAGGTATTTTGACGTAAAGGAAAAACAAAAAATATCGTATATAATTGTGATAATAATATATATATAATATCGTATATACTCTTGTATTAAATATATTATATATTATATAAATATATATTATTTATTAGATTGTGGCAACTAAGTGATTGAGGATTTTGTCGATAGACAAATCACATATAATTCAGCTTTTTGATAGGAACGATCAGAAATTTGATGAACGTGGAATTATGACACTGCCTGAATTGAATAAACTAACTTATATTTCTTCAGTAAAAATTTGCAATTTTTCCTTCTTATTTCAAATCTGCGATCACTTATATAGTTATTATAATATATAATAATATAATATCGTACACACTAATTGAGATAGAAGATATGATACAAATATATTTGCCAAAAGAAAAAAAAAAAGATAAATTATTGACGCGGAGATAAAATGAAACATTTCAAACTTATGCACACCCGTATATAGTCATCGTTTAAAAACGTTTGAAGAAGATCAGCCCTAACCGACGTCCGTCGGTTTTCTTGCAATCTTTTGTTCCTCTATAAAATCCTGTCGACACTCGTTCAATCTTTCTCTCCCTCTCTCTCTCTCTCTCCTTCAAACGGATGCACCCATAAGAAACGGTACACCAGGGACCACCTTCTTCTTTCACCTACGATTAAACGTACGTGCTTGGTGATGCATTCGACGGACTCGACTCGCGTGTCTCTCTCTCTCTCTCTCTCTCTCTCTCTCTCTCTCTTTTTCTTTCTATCTTTATTTCACTTAAATACTTTATATCTCATTCTCTCTCTCTCTTTTTCTTCTATCTCAGTCGAGGTTGCTTGCCGCCGCTGCTGCATCAATTCAGGAGCAATTGAATTCACGATTCCTAGCTGCTATTAGTAGCCAGAAAGGATTACGTAGCTCGCTTGCATTCGATTCTCGCGTGCGTGACGCATCTGCGTTCGCGTACGAAGTGTCTGTGAGAAAATGAGAGAAAGAAAACAAGTATAGACGTAGTCGAGTAAAGAGGTGGAGGAGGAGGAGGGAGAACTTGGCATAAATCCATGTGCATCGACGGCTTTATACGTTCTCTTCTTCTTCTTCTTTTTCTTCTTTTTCTTATTCTCTATCGGAGAGTTACAGATATATGTATATGTGTATATATGCATTAAACTGGTTCGAGAGAAACAAACTCTACTTGCTGAATCCTTCTTCTTTCTCATGAGATTGGTTACAGTTAGTTGTAAATAAGAAATTGTATGTTTCTTCTTCGAATTCTTCCGGTTTGGACGTACTAACGAAAAAAAATCTTGAACTTTCGTGTAATACTATTTTAACGATTGATGATTTGCGATTGGTAATAATAACGTTGACGTGAATATGATAGGGGTATTCGAATAACAGGGGGAAAACTTGTAAGTATATAATAGTCAAAAAAATCGCTATGGGTCACGAAAGATTCAACGTTATCGGACACCACGTGAGAATGTAAATTTGTAAATGAAAATATTTGAGAAATCCTACTTCGTTCTTATATTATTTTTATAACAATAACTAACAATATTTTTCTACGAAAATATATACTTATGTATAAAAATGAATTCTATATATATATATATATATATATATATTTAAAAATATTTAATATAAGTCTTGTCAGTCGAGGTGTTAAAAATCTAAATGATTGGCATCCTGAAAATGACTGAGCTTAAATGCAATTACCATGTGGGTTACGTATACGTGTATATTATATTTATAAAGAAAAAAAAAAAAGGTGCATATAATCTCTCGTTATGTAGATTCGTACGAATACGAATGAAACACGTGCAAAAGGTAGAACAATAAGGTGTGGAAGAAAGAAATAAAGAAAGAAAGAAAGAAAGAAAGAGAAGGAAATAACGATCGGTGAAAGTATCGCGTTTTTCTCGGACGGTGATTGCAGGTTTCATTTCTCGTGCAGTGAGCTTTTTGACGCGAGAGATCCTCGCACATCTCCACCCTTTCCGTAGAGAATTGGAGCACGCAAGTCTGTACGAGAGACAAAAAGAAAAGGAAGAGAACAAAATTAAGAGAGAAAGAAACATAGTGTGTGAAAGAGAGAGAGAAAGAGAGAAAATCATAGTTATTATGCAGCAGCATGTAAAACAGATTCTCGCGGGCCACCCGCGTAATTATTAAGCCGTCACGTGTATGAGGAACATCGGCTTTTATCGTCTTCTTCACTCGGTACACGGTCTCCCTGGGCCCTCCGAAGCTTTTTGTCGTATCTCCAAAGTCCCTGCGGGATGCGTGTAATCCACCCGTACTTGCGAATGCTACTCTCAAAAGAAAAAAAAAACAAAAAAAAAAAAAAAAAAAAAACAGTATAAGAACAGAACCAGAATGAAAACGAGAAAGAGAGAGAGAGAGAGAGAAATAAAAAAACATTACGACTACTACGACGACGATGATTCCGAATGCATAACGACGGTATATAATATTTGTTCAGAGTTTGTAATTTACTAAATTACTTTTAAAATATAAGGTATTAAATTTAGATAGGTAAAAGACATATAGAAAATAAATAAAAGAATAGAAAAATTGATGACGACTTTATATCCAATGTTGACTCGCTTTTGACAATTTTTTGTTGATCCAATCATATTTCCGAGATTATGACATTATAACATGACGATGATTATGATGACGATGATTTCGAATAATGTCAGTATATAATATTTGTCCAGAGTTTGTAATTTAC